TGAATGGGGGCCCAGTAGGTATAGAGCCGCAGTGGTTAGAGTGCAGCACTGCAGGCCACTTCAGCTGACTGCTATCTGCAGTTCAGCGGTTCAAATCTCACCGGCTCAAGGTTGACTCAGCCTTCCATCCTTCCGAGGTGGGTGAAAAGAGGACCCAGACTGTGGGGACAATATGCTGACTCAATTTGCTAAAAATCTGTAAACCGCTTAGAGAGGGCTGAAAGCCCTATGAAGCGGTATATACGTCTAACTGCTTTTGCTATTGCTATTATTTTGATTGTGGTTATGAACATAATATGATCAAATACATTTGAATCAAGATATATATCTTGATTCCAATGTAGTAGATCAGGAGGAGATGTAGGGCCAGCTGAAATTGGTCAAAGGGCCAGATCATGTCCAGTAATGGACAGCTGTCAAAACTATGAATATGTGAACAGATGCAGTATCATAAATTTGATTGTATTTTCTCCCAATTAAATATGGAATTATAGCTTACATACAAAGCTAGGAGATGTGATTAGGATAAGGGTACATTTTTTGCTACATGAATTCTCCATGTATTATTTTTGTTGTTTTTGTTGTTTAGGCTAATTGTCACCGATTCTGATGGAGCAGTTAACTCCACATTAGCTTCCTTGAGAGTCAACAAACTATTGGATTCTCCTCCTGTTGCCAGGGCTGGACCAGATCAGGAAATTAGTTTGCCTCAAAATTCAGTCACATTAAATGGAAACCAGAGTAAAGATGATCATGAAATTGTCAGCTACGAGTGGTCCCTGAGTCCCAAAAGTAAAAGCACAATGGTAGCCATGCAGGTAACTGAAGAGCATTTTGCTTTATGCCCTACCATTTGTGTTATATTTGAAACTAGTTTTGAAAAGGAATTTTTTGTTTTAGACTTAGAATAACTTTATTGTCACTTCAATAAATATTCAAAGTGACAATGAAGTTATTCTAGGTTTAAGAAAAGGAATTTGTGTTGCTTCTGAAAACAGGCCACAAACACTGAAATTAGTTCAGATGTTGATACTGGTGCCTGGTCCTTTGTTGACGATCTAAATACATTTTAACTTTTTAAGTTCCACAAAGAAGATTCCTTCTGATTTTTAAAACTTGATTTGAAGCATTTAGAACACAACTTTCAGGCCACTTGCTATGGTTGGAAAATAAGGAAATAGATGCAACCAAGAACAAAAATATACAATAAGGGCATATTTGAAGGGACCCATCTTGTTATGTGAGAATGTGAATTAAACCCAAGGCATCACCTGAAAGCATAGAACAATTAATCTTGCGAAGCTGATTTGGGTTTGAATAATGTTTGGATAAGAGCTTCCCTGGAAAAGCCACACATATTGCCTTGAGATCCACAACAGAAGAAATGCAGAATAATCGACATTCTTTAGAATAAATATAGAATATAGATGAACTAACTCTGTCAAAGAAATAAGGCTATAATTAAACTTCCCTCTAGTTCCAATTTCTTTTGGCAGGGCTGCATATTATACACGCTTTGGGTATTAGTTCCTGAGTGGTATTACATGATTTACGAGTGCATTACCAACAAAAGGTTAAATTGCATTAACATGACAGTGAATGTTGCAACTCAATGGAACTCCTGCTAGGGTAAGACTAATGGACACGCCTTATCTAAAAGTTGCCAGTCAAGTATTAAGTCGGAAATTGCACAGAGCACTCTAAAATTTATTTGAGTATTATATGTGAAACATGTTGTGCTTTTAGTTTGGATGCCCATTTTAATTTATTTGAAAGGTAACTGTGTTAAAAGCTATAAGAGTGTGTTTGGTTTCATGGATACTAAGCCATAATTTGCTGCGTTCACACAACCGTCCAAATCATAAATCCTAGTTTACAAAACACAATGACTATATCCTTAACAGTATTCTAAGCCAGAATTAAATAAGCCACATGATGGTTAATGCAACATGTACACTCTGTATCAGTACTTACAAGGTGATCAACAACAAATTGTGCTCTTCGGTGGAAGACTACACAGTATTATATTGCACTTTTTTTTCATCATCTCTGATTTATGTTCTCTGTATAATTTTCTAGGGTGTAAGGAGTCCATATCTTCAACTGTCTGCAATGCAAGAGGGAGAATATATATTCCAGCTGACAGTAATGGATTCTGCAGATCAGAAGTCAACAGCTGAAGTCACAGTAATAGTCTGGCCCGGTAGGGCATCATATTCCTGCCTGACATAGTAGAACATCTGGGCTCATGAGCTGATGCATCTGACTTTGGTGTTAAAAATAGGAGAGAACAGTGGCTGGCTTTGCAGTGTCCATTATAGGTACCTGTAGTGAATAGAAATTAGACTATGGGAATTGAATGAATAGAGCAGGTCTCCTATAAGGGAGCAATATAACTGCCTTGTGGGGGAAACCCTGAGGAAATATGGCTTGGAAGGATGAAGTCATGCACAAGACCCTTGAATTGGAAGGGTTGACCCCTTCATTGGAATTTTTGTAGAAGAAGTAAATGAATTTTGTAGAAGACAATAAGAAAATAATGTTCCCTAGCCCTAACTCCAACCCCAATCCTACCCTTGTCCCTAACCCCACCCTAACCACAATCCTTTCTGACCCTAATGCCACCCTAATCCCAACCCCAATCCTTGCTTTGACCCTAACCCCAACCCCTAATCCTTCCCTTTACCCTAAACCTAACCCCAACTCTAATCCCAACCCCAATCCTTGCCTTGACCCTAACCCCAATCCTCATCCCAACCCCAATTCTTGCCTTGACCCTAACCCAACCCTAATCTCAACCCCAATCCTAGCCTTGACCCTAACCTTAACTCCAACTCTAATTCCAATCCCAATCCTAGCCTTGACCCTAACCCTAACCATAACCCCAATCCCAACCCCAAACTTTAAACCTAACCCCATCTCTAATCCTTTCTGGTCTCTTTATTGATCTTAAGGTTCTGGTAACTCCTTAAAGAGGAGGAAATAGATCTCACCGATACATATATAGAAAGAACAATTGGATTGGATTGTTTTTGTCTTTATTACAGGGCAAAACAAGCCTCCTTCAGCCATGACTGGCCCCGATAAAGTGTTGACCTTTCCTATCCGGAGCACGAATCTCGATGGGAGCATGAGCACTGATGACTTAGGGATTGTTTACTATCACTGGGAGAAGATCAGGTATTTTGTATGGAGGGAAGATGCACACTGAGGCATGGGTGACATTAGGATTGGTGGTGCTAAGAACTGAAAAAGTTTAAGGAAGGCAAGCTGATATTTCATGTGGGGGTGACACAGATGGTGGGGGAAGGTTTCAAAAAAGCTCAGGATGGGAACTTCGCCTGCGTAGGTGTAATCACCACCTTATCCTTACCATTTTTGACACATTATTATAGAAGCTTGCATTTAAATCCTGCTGATTGTATGATTTGAATTGGAAATCTTAGTCGTTCTTAATCACCTATTTCTAGTTTGAAACATTATCCATGCTGTTTCCTACAGAATTGTGACCTCTTGGAAAAAATAACGTTTCCAGAGCAGTTCATGGTGAAGTAGGTGCCAACCATGCTACCCTTTATATTAATACTTGTCCATTAACTTTGTTACATTGACAAAGACAGGGAAGGGGATGTAATAGATGTACAGGTGGTCCTCGACTTACAACCATGCGTGTAGTGACTTATGACCATTTCTCACCTGACCATTGCAACATCCCCATGAATAGGTGATTAAAATTTGGATGCTTGCCAATTGACATGTATTTATGATGGTTGCGTCATCCTAGGCTCGTCGGAGCATCTTTTGCTACCTTCTGACAAGCAAAGTCAATGGGGAAACCAGATTCACTTAACAATCATGTTACTAACTTACCAACTGCAATGATCCACTTAACAACTGTGGCCAGAAAGGTCGTAAATGGGGCAAAACTGACTTAACAACTTTCTTGATTAGCAACAGAAATTTTGAGCTCAGCTGTGGTTGTAAGTCAAGGATCACCTATAATGAGAGCCAGTATAGTGTAGTGATTAAGGTGCTGGCCTAGAAATCAGGAGTCTTTGAGTTCTAGTCCTACCCTGGGCAAGAAAGCCACCTGGGTGATTTTGGTCCAATCATTCTCTCTCACTCCAACTCACTTCACAAGGCTATTGTTATGGGGAAAATAGGAAGAGGAAGGCATATTTCTATATGCATGCTTATCACCTTGCGTTATTTGTAAAGTATGATATTTTTGGAGTATAAGACGCACCTCCCCCCCCAAAAGAACATGGAAATGTTGGTGCGTCTTATACACCGAATATAGTCATTTTTGGCCTCCTGAAGCCTCACCCCGGTACCCCATTTTTTGCAAAAAATGGNTAAAAACACACTTTTTTTCCTTTCAAAAGTCAGCTCTGCATTTTTTCAGCACAACATGTTGAACGAAATGTATGGAATTTGCAGAAAGTAACTACGCTAATCAGTGCAAAGAATGTAACTAGTTTTGTTCCCACTTGGAAGCTACTTCTGGATTTTTGAAAGAGATAAAAATGAAATTTTGATTTTGGGTTTTGATCATTAAGTAGGTTGTTGTTATAGAAATAGCTAGTACTATTTTTTGTGTAAGCAAAAAGTTGAGATTATAAATTGATTCTTATTGTGTAATTTACTGCGCTGAAACTGGTTGGAAGTCACTGCTTTTTTGTCTTTTCTATTTTTCTTCTCTATTTTTCTTTTCTATTTCTTTCCCCTTTCCCCCTTATCTCCTTTTCCACTGTCTTTATTTTCATTTGTATTTTATATTAATACATTTTATTTATATCTCATAACATCCTGAATACTCCCTTGTTATATGTACATTGTCTGTGGATCAGAAGAAGATTCAGGTCAAGTTAGTAACTCTCCAACACCAACAGCCAGTATATTTGTGCTCTTTATGATGTGTTATGATAAAGAAAACAGAAAAAAACAAGGTCATTAAAATGTTTTTACCATATTTGAAGTGGCTGCTTTTCAATTTTTAGGAAACCAGGTCAAAATAAAAGGGCATTTTCTATGGAGGTGGCTCTGAAGGGATATATGAAGCATTTGCCTATTTACAGCATTCCCTCCTTGTTTTGAAGTGATCTAAGTTAATGCTGTACTGAAAATCTTCCCCATTTTTTCCTCCTGTTCTCCACAATTTAATGGAAAAGACACTGTGCTTGATTTTTTTCTCCCTCAGGAAGAAAAATATCTCTGAAATCCTTTGCTGGGACTGTCCTGGCATTTATTTTAGTTATGCAGTGCCTGCCCTGGTTAGTCTTTTGTACTACAATATTTTGTCTAATGGACAGCCATCTCCTTTGCTACCAATGCTTTAGTTTAATCCCAAAAGGATAACCTCCAGCTTTATCCTTTTGTGGTTCAAGGACTGGGAATCACTGCCTCCATATAAGATACTGAGACACACTTACCAACTCAATATTGTTGTTTCATTTGAAATAAGCTAGCTGGTGGATTTCAAATGCCTATGACCAGCAGGCATGAGGATATCTGGATTTCCAATTAGTGCTTTGCTGGGGAACTTGAATGGTGTAAGATCAAATTTCATATTTGGAGTTAGTGATTGTGAATGAAAAAAAAAAAAGCCTCAGCTGAGCCCAAGCATAATTCCAAATTTTACCAGATCATAGGCACAGAAATATAGGTCATGCAAGTGGCTGTTATTTCTTAGGAAAGATGGAAAGAAAGACAATCTGACCTAAAAATGAATATAAAGCTAGAAAATCCCTCGGAAAGTTTTAAGTTGTGGTGTTTTTCTTAAAACATGAAACTGGTTTCCAATACTACATGGGACANAAGTGTTGTCATTTTATAAATAGACCAGCTAATATCAATGTACTATTTATTCTTTGAAAAAATAAAAATGGTGCGCCAGATCGTAGTAGGGGTGTGAAAATGCTGAGATATTTGTGAGGTTTTTTTTTTATACCTGTCTCTCTATTAATTTTATTTTTATTTAAATGTATATTCGGATCTGCTTCTTGAACAATGTTAAAGTTTTAATGAAAATCTTTGGAAATTGGATTTTTTTCCCCAGGTATTTACAGGTCACAGAGAGGCATGCAGTTCTGTGCATAGGAATATGGACACATGCATACCTTTGTGTTCCAATTTCTAAAGCTGACAAATGAGAATCAAATGGACTATGCAAAATGATGCTGCCAAAGCTTTTCTTCTGCCTACCATCTGAATTGTGATTTATCTTGGTGAAACATCACGTTCCTTATTCCCCAACCGCCATCCTTGCAAGATTTTATTTAGCATTCTCACAAATAATATCAATTGATATTCTACTCTGAGTACTAAGTAGTAGTAAATTAGCAAAATAAACCAAATCCACAGAATTCATCTATCCCCAAATTTGATTAGGGCCACTTGTGTAGCGTCAAGCCATTTCCTACAGACGAACCTCATTTATTATACAAACAGCTTTCTGGGTCTTCGGTAGTATACCGCAAATTGTTATGCATAGTATTTGCCAGGATTTTAATGAAACACTTAAAAGTGACTCCTTTATATCTCAATCATTAGAGTGTTTTACGCTTCTGAAATGCTGTTTCCAGCCACTCTGTCAGCTTGGTCTGAATCATTAGGTTGAGCTAAGCATTTATTTATTTCTACAGCATTATTCTGTTTTGGAAAAATTAGAATGAGGAAGGAACAACTTTAAGCACTTATTGGCCCCAAAACTATCATTCATCATAGCCATGTATTCAATACTTCCTTATTATCCTTCCTCTCCATCATTCCAAAATCTATTTCGATACTATGAAAGTTGAAGAGATTCATAGGATGGCATTTAATTTATTTTATAAACAAAATAATTCTGCCCATGGACTGACAAACTTTATAACACATCTTTCTTGTGATCTGCTTTTCCTCAGATTCTTGTTTGGAGAACAAGAAAATCATCCATCTTTTCTCTCTCTCTCTCTCTCTCTCTCTCTCTCTCTCTCTCTCTCTTCTTGTCCATTCTCCTTCTCTTTTTTGTTTGATGAGAAGAGAAAAATTAAAAGAACAAGCCTCCTATGACAAGTAATTTATAAGACTATTTGTTTCAGCTGGAGAACCCTAAAGTGTATTACAGATTTTTAATGGCACTTTGAACAACTGATTTGGATTGAGACATATGTCCTTGCTGGGGAAAATGGAGCAGAGGTTAAAAAATGGCTTAAAAGAAACTTTGCAAGGTCTGTTGGGAATAAAAAAGGAAAAGAACGTGGAGTGGTAAATGTTTCTAAAAGTTAATATTGTTCTTAACCTGATTTTGAGGGGAAGAATGTTCGATAAAGCAGGCACCATGGCAAAAGAAACCAAGTCTTGTTACCCATAAAATTCAAGTCCCTAGCAATGGTACTTCTGGCATGGCTTCTCTGCCAGATCTAATTAGGTGGTCTCTTAGGTTCCATGACCACAATTCATTCCCACCACACTCTCAGGTTGCTTTAACAAGCCAAGATGACTTGAACCTAAAGAGCAGGTAGTTGAGCTCACAGTCCTAAGGTCCCTGTCCAATTTCTCAGGTCCAACAGGTTCAAACTGTTGACAGATAGTCGGGAATATTTTTTTATAGATTATGACTGTTGAAAAAAAGCATTTCTACAAATATTTTTTGGAAATTTATTTTTAGCAGCTTCCTTTGCTTTTTGTTGTTGAGGTACAAAGTTTTTGTATCCATTGTTATTATTGCTGAAAACAGCTGAAGTCCCTCCCAGCCTTTAGTGCTGCTGAATTAGATGTGATCTCTGCCTTTACTTGAAAGTAAAAGGATGGGTAAAGTCTTTGCAAAAGTATATGAAGTATGGTCTAGAGCAGGAAAAAATTGCCTTATAATGTGACTTGATATGAAATATTAGTCCAAAGTCCATGCCTGAATTAATAAATTCATTCTGATATTTCCACTTTAATTCTTCTCTCTCTCCTCTGCCTTCCTACCAATATAAAGAAAATGCATGGTTCGATGGACTGCATGTTTTCCTACCACTGTCCTAAAATTTGTTGCAAGTGTTCCCAAATTGTTTTTCTAAAAAGAAAAAAAAGTATAGTTGTATGTTTTAAGTCTCTCCCAACAAGGCCTTTTGTTAAAATATACTCACTGATTGACTTTAAGCATTGGAGTTCTTTTACTCAGAAACAAATGGCTTTAGCAGACCCTGTTTGAATCTGGACTACGTGCTCACAAAGGACAGTATTTTCTTTCGTAATGGTTCTCCCTACCTTCTCCCCCAGTTTTGGATTTATTTTAGAAGATCTGCATTTCATAGTAGTATTTCAACTAACATAAAAAATAAGCTGTTTCAATTTTAGGGATTGTGATATGCATCAAAAAGAAAGAGAATCATTTCCCCAACCATATAGCCAAATGTGTAAACAGAAAATCTTTTGAAGGTCTCAAGCTGGTATAAAAAACATTGTTGAATGGATTGCCATGCTGCCCAGCTCAAGGTAGGATGCCTGCATGCATAGAAAGGAAGCATTAATACCTACAGAACTGGCCTTATCTCATTACACTGGCATGCCCCACCAAAAGTATGATACAGACCGCATCAGTTAAAGAACTCCAACTTGCAGTGTCTAGGAAGACAGCCTTTTCTGCCATAACCCCCACCCTTAGAAACATTCTTCCCCAGAGTGAGATTAGCTCCAGTCTCCTAACCTTCTGAAAAGNATTGTTCTGGCTTTAATTGTACATCACTCTTTAGAATTTTCTGAATTAACGCACATGTTTGAAACCAAGAAAGTCTAGAATTGTTAATAATTCATTTCCTCTGATATGTAGGATTATAACAGCCATTTGAATAAATAAGAAGCAATAGTCAAAATAACCAATAAA